ACTTTCCAGTGGATGTGTATCTCGAAATTGGCCAGGGTCATAACATTGGTATCGGAGCGGATTCTACTTGCTGGTGAGAGTTGACTTTGCTACCCTAACCCTAACCTAAGTGGTTGAGGGCAACACTTAGGGTTAGGGTTGGATGGTTGAGGGAAGTGGGGCAGCGTGGCTAAGGGAAGCTGCCCCCACCTGGTTAGGTCATGTGGGGTCAACATAGACCCTAACCAGGTTGCTTGAGAGTAAGATTGGGGAGGCGAGACATTTCGAGGAGACTTCATACGGCGATTTGAGAGAGGCGGCAGTGAGAGGCACTCGCACCTGGAATCTGATTCAAGGGAGACACTTGGCAACTTAAGGGCTGCCCTCAAGTAGGCGAACTTGAGGGTCAGCGGCCATTCTGCATCAACGGACTGCAAGTTGCTGCTTTGTTCTTCAGCATCGACGGGGGATCCGGCGTTGCACTTGCGTATTGGAGTCAGACCCTCCTAGGAGATAGGACACTAGTGTAGGGGTAGCGTTAGATGGGTCAGGAGGACCATATGAGAAGGGGGGTGAGTTCTCTTCATCTCGAAGCTCAAGGCCACTCAGGTAAGTGCCGTGCACCTAAGGGATGCCCATGTATGTGTGTACGGTATTGATTGTCCTGCTGGGGTACTCTGGGTTTCTTTTCCTACTCCTTTGTGGTCTTGATTGTGTGACTGGATGCATGTGATCTACCTACTCACCTGATGGATGGAAAATGAAGTATCTTGTTATACATGCCGAGTCTTTCTACAGTGCTTTGTCTTTTCATCACTGAACGGTGGTAGTCTGAAGGTTCTGACAGAAGTTGAAATTTCGTTTTTCAGTGCAGTTGAGACTGAACTAAGTTCAGGCCGGACTCTTCTTGGTTGGGACCTGGTTGAGACCTACGTGGGACCCTTGGGACCAAGTGGGACCCAGCGAAACCGGGCCCAAACAAGGAGGGCCTCTAGACCCAAATCGGTTAGGCATTGACCTCTTGTCTTCTTGGCTGAGATATGAGTTCATTCTTCTTGGATTAGGACACCCATTGCCGAGGGGATCTTGGCTTTGACGTTTCGCTTGTATTCTGATTGCACCATCCGTGGCTTGACTCGCACCCTGCACACCACTCAATTCTCCATCGTTGCATTTGGTCACTCGTTGTCTGATTTGCTGTACGGACACGGAGCTGGTCAGGCTGGACTCGAGAGGATCTCATATGCAGCCTGATCAGACTGGGTCGCTGGATCAGACCTCTCTTTTGAGTTTGATTGTTTCTTCTGCTGTTCTCTGCTTCCAAATGAAATGCCGCTCCGGCTAGGAGTTCTACCTTCTTTTCTCTGAGATTTATCTGTTTTTCTGAGTTCATTTCCGATGCCCGTGGAGACTTGCAATCAAAAAGAAGAAAGAGAGAGGAGGGAGAGAGAACAGGGAGAGAGGGAAAGTGATAGTCTGAGGTGGGCAAGGACTGGGAAAAGGAGTGTTCGTCTAAGCGCGGGGGGGAGTGAACCTCTTGAGAGTCTGATTGATTCTTTTACTGTCTGGCGACTCTCTGATCCACCTGCTCACACTGACAGTCCAAAGATGACCCAGCTAAATTCGACGCAATGGCGGGCCTTGTTAGATGCAGCCGGTGATGCTGAGAAACCACATCTGCAAGCACTCTTGGATGGTGCTATAAAACGGGAATAGGAGTCAGAGAAGGAGAGGAAGGAGGCCTTGCTGAGAAGGCAAGTAGCCCTCCTAAAGATTGTTCCCTCACTGACTGAAGAGCAGTGCAAGGAACAACTGCAGTCCATCCTCACAGCCTTTGTTCAAAATCAGGAATCTTGAGGACCATACCACTCAGATCGCTGAAGTCTTTGCAAAACTGCAGACACTTCAGGATGATCTGACTGAGATGACCCTCAAGTACCATGAGCTGACAAAGGAGGTGGCAGATCTGCGACAAGCCCAAGTGGCCAACCCTCTTCCTCTACCTCCTGGAACTGAAGCTGCAATCGAAACTACCTCTGCCCCTCTTACTGTGTCTTCTTCTACCTCATCTTCGAGTGTGATGGCAACTCCTTCGGGACCTGCAGCAGGTGCAGATTCCACTGTTGCTGCAACAAGCAATGCAGCTGGAACTTCTGCAATTGCTGCAGCC